TACATTTTTTATCTTCCTTAGAAATAACCATCCGGGAAGATGAGCTGCTTGCTTCATCACACAAAACAGAGCGGAATCCAAGCAAGTGGCATGCAGCGGCTTTTAGTTTCCATTTGCCAGGGACACATATGGGGAGCAGGATCTCTCACTATTTCTCTGGAAATAGTGTCATCAAACACAATTTAGGAATTATCAACTATTTTCCCTCCTCGCATTTTATTCAGTCTTTCATTGCACTTTCTTTTTTTTTTTAAATATTTTTATTGATTTCAGAGAGGAAGGGAGATGGAGAGAGAGAGAGAAACATCCACGATGAGAGAGAATCTTGGACCGCCTGCCTCCTGCACGGCCGCTACTGGGGATGGAGCCCACAACCCGGGCCTGTGCCCTGGGTGGGAATTGAACCGGGAACCTCCCGGAATAATTAGCATATGAAGGTCACCATTTGAAGGTGAAGACATCCCTTGGCCTCCCAAGGTAATGCGGGTCCCTGAGGAGCAAAGGGATTCAGGTGTTGACCCCTGGAGCTGCCCACCCAAGAAGGGGTGTGTGATTGCACCTCAAAACATGTCACAGTGGTCAAGCCACCAGGCCCCTGCCCCCTGATTCCGCCACGACAGCAGATCGGGGCCGGGGGTCCCCCGTTCACACACCTGATCGGATCGGGTACCTTCCCGTGAGGAAAGCGGACCGGCTTGGGGTGCACGCGGAGGCGGCAGCGATGTGCTGGGTCAGTTGGACACCTTCTCTGGCTAAGCTGTCGATGTTGGGGGTCCTGGAAAGAGAGATGGGGGGACAGTGAAGAATTGGGGTGGGAGAAGAGAGAGAGAGAGAGAGGAGGGAATGACAGAGGGAGAGACAGACATGAAGACAGAGAGAGAGACCAAGAGAGACAGAGAGACACAGAGAAAGATAGAGGGACAGAGAGAGAGAGAGAGAGAGAGAGAGAGAGAGAGAGGAAAGGAAAGGCAGGAAGGAGAGAGAGTGAGAGGAATAGACAGGGACAGAGACAGAAATTGCAGGCACATGTACACACACACATGCGTGCACGCACACACAGATCTGAAGGTAAAAAATCTGTTTCCCGCCGAGACCGGCTTGGCTCAGTGGATGGAGCGTAGGCCTGCGGACTGAAGGGTCCCGGGTTCGATACAGGTCAAGGGCATGTGCCTTGGTTGCGGGCATATCCCCAGTGGGAGATGTGCGGGAGGCGGCTGATCGATGTTTCTCTCTCATCGATGTTTCTGACTCTCTATCTCTCGCCCTTCCTCTCTGTAAAAAAATCAATAAAATATATTTTTTAAAAAAAGA